GGGTGAAGTGATAAACATAATTTATTTTAGTACGCTAACACTGTTAAGACATTATTTTTATTGATTTAAATTATAAAATTAATAATACTAATTATAAAATACTATTAAACTTTCGCATCTATTGTTTTTAAGCATATTTTTAGTCCAAAGGGCTATTAATTTCGTTTTAGCATTTTGCGTCGGAACACTATAAACGGCGCATCACTTTTCAAATTGTTGCCAACAAATAGAGCCCTGCATTACATTTAAAGAAGTTAAATAATGAAGAATCTGCATAAATGAATGTATGTTTCTCGCATTGTGATAAAACAACAGCTCCTACAGCCATCAATTTTTTAATAACGTAATCCTCCACCCGAATATGGGCATTTAGAAGCCCAAATTTGGATTTTTTTTATTATCTATTTCAATTTGTAACACTTTAAGAATTTTTAATTACAATGTCCGGATTGCGAGCAAAACACTGTAGGAGGGGGGTTGAGAAATTATAAACCGCGCAAGACTGATCGAAAAATTCTAAAGATATGCTCTTTTTAAAATTATTTTTGATATTGCTATTGAATTGAATTTTTGGTTTAAGTGCGAAGAACATGGCTTAATAATAAAGGTAACCACACAAAAAGGTTGAAAAAATAAAAAAAAAAATCAAGCCCTCCCCCAAAAAAAAAATTATGAAAGGTTTCAGATTTCAATTACGTCCAAAGGGACATTCTTTTAACGTTTTGTGTTACCTTTATTTATTAAACATGTTCTTTGCACTTAAAACATAAAATTCGTTCAGTAGCAATGCGCAAAATAATTTTAAAATGAGCCTATCTTTAGAATTCCGATACACGTTCCGCGTCCGCTGAGATAAAAAGGTTTTCTTTTCCCCCGCTGTAGAGGTTGCATTTCTCGTTTTTAAACGTGAGTTTGTTACTCAAAATTCGTAAAGGTTTACAAATATGAATCGATTATAAACAATTCCAAATTTATTCTTCCACATGCCCTATTCGTAGGAGGATTACGTCATTCAAAATTCGATGCTCTATCCCGTTGTTTTATCACAATGCGAGAATAGATATGCAGATTTTTCATATTTAATTCTTCAAATTAATGCAAAACTGTAACATTTGGTGGCAACAGTTTGAAAAGTGAAACGGACATTTATAGTGATTCAACGCAAAATCGCAAACCGAAAACAACAGTCCTTCAGGGACAAAGCCCCTTTTTTACTAAAAAAAACTCTTTGGTCGTAATATAAAATCTGAAACTTTCAGATTTTGTTGTTCTTATAGTAAATTCTATATCAACAGATTTTTTTAATGTATATACATATAACGAGAAGCATATTATGGTTATACAGTGACTCGCTGAATATGCTAAGAGCAGAAATCAATATACAATATCTAATTTCTTTCATATTTATGTGCCTAGGCTACATTTTTGTTACCTATTACGAGCCACTCTGCATATTCTGCACCTAAATTAATTTAAAAGGCTCCTTTAAACCATGCACTGTTCTATATTATCATTTTATGCTATTTAAATCAAAGGTGAGATAAAAAATATGTATATAAATGAGTTTAATTTCATAGGACAAGCTATCTGCATCATAGAATTTCTACTGTATATTTAAAATTTTTTTATCGACGGTGAAAACGTTGTCGGATAATCATCTGTCCAAACGGAAGCCATTTGTCAAACATTTACGTTGTCAAAGTAATTCCATGGTCCTTTCCCATCCAAGTACTTTGAAGGCAAGAAATACAGTTAGGGGACATCATCAAATTCAAAGAGAAGTGCCCAAGTTGATTCCCATCAGTGGCTAAGTGATCTGACCGTGAACTAGAATTATTTCGGTCTGAATTCACGATCCTGGCTGAACAGAATGATTTGGGTTGGTTTTTGTGGTGGATTTCATCATGTGTATCGTAAATACGAGACAGTTTTGTTTTTGGAAAATTTTCTAGGAAACCACATCTATTGTCAGAAAGCTATGCATTGTTACAATAAATTAAACCAGTTGACAATCTTATACTAACCTCGATATCTTTTATATCTCAAAATTTTGCATGATTTTCGATCACAAAAACCTTATTCTTCGTGTTCTTATTGGGTGTAACAGTTAACCAATTCCAACTGAAGCAGCTTTTGTATAAATGGCTCTCTGAAACATTATTATATATCTCCTTTTAACAAGAATCCTTCGAATTGTTAACATCCCAATTCCCAATTTACAGAAATAATTTTTTAATGGATATTTTGTCTTAAGATGTAAACTGAAGTGGTTCATAATTTGAAAGTTATTGTAATTGAAAGGTGTCTGTAGTGAGCGAACTACTACAAAACGAATCTGTAGGTGCAGCAACTTACAGACGTAATGTGCGTCTGTACCAATTAAAATCATTATCTGAATCTGCATCTCTATCAAAAAAAAAATTCCCAAGTTTTTAAAACAGTCGTCTGATACGCAATTTCGCTGCCAACGATTACTTGGGCAGTAGTGATTTTGGGTCATCGAACCACTCTGAGGTGTACTTAGTACAACGAATATCTTTTTTCCCCAAAGAACATCTCGCTTACTTCTCGCTCTATTAAGGGAGGGACGAGACGTTATCGATATATATCGTTTAATTGTGATGGATCGAAAGTTGACGGAAAGGTGAAATTAATCGATTCGTAAAAACGCTCTGTTCGCTCTTGATTAATGATGCGCTGTCCTAAAACTTTTCTCTTCATTTCGTGTTTTCGTCCCCAAATGACTGACTCCTTTATTTTTGTTATTTATTTTGTTCCTCTCGACGTCGCATCTGCTACTTGTTTTTACACCAGCGGAAACGTTTGATGTGAAATGCATACATATGAGACGGCACACTTCATTTTCATGTGACGCTTTTCAGTGTGTTGACAACTCACTTTGCAGTAAACTTCTGATCGGTAGAGGAACGACTTAAAGATACTCTTGCAAGTTGTCTCATGATATTACCTGTTTCCGAACACAAAACGTGTGGAAAATAAGTAATACGAATGAAAGTGTTGTCAGGGGATGGTGGAAAAGTACAAAAGCTTAACAACTTATGTCCAAGAACGGAAACGGATAAAAGTTGCACACAGAAAGCAAAATGCAGGTCGAATAAACTAATGTTTTGCAGTTCTGATACAACTTTAAGTACTTAGTAAGATATAAGAATACAGAGAAATTTAAAATTTAATAGCTAAACAAAAACATTGAAATTTTAAAATTTCTTGAACAGTGCCTTCAACATGAAAGTTTTTTTTAGTACTCCATAAGGGGGAATTTTCCCAGAAGGACTATTAATGCCGTTTTGGCATTTTGCGTTGACTCACTACAAGCGTTGTTTCACTTTTCAAATTGTTGCCACCAAATATTATTCATAATAAATCATAATAATAATAATATTTATTATATAATAAATAATATAATAATTTATAATAATAATTATTACTATAAATAATAATAATTATTATTAATGATAATAATTATTCTGATATCTGTGCGTATGGGCATAATAAAAGACTATTTTTTCAAACGGAATTTAAAATGGATTTAAAATGGTTTCAGAAGGGTGTTGTTCCGTGCTGTCTCTACGTATATACGCACGTAGGTATGTATATATCTCGCATAACTCAGAAACGATTAGCCTTAAAGCGTTGAAATTTTGCTTGGTGAGCTTGTAGAGACATTAGGTATATTTCTGGAAGCAGGAGAATTGAAAAATTAGCAACGCCTTCGCCGGGAATCGAACCGCGGACCTCTAGAATACGCGCCCAGTATGCAGACCACCACACCACGAAGGCGTGTCAAGTAGGCGGGAGAAATACCGTATATACTCCTCCTTTTAAAGGGCGACTGGGGTTTTTAGGGGGACCTAATCGCCAAATGCTGGGTGAGGAGAATCATCATCCACAACCCTTTTAGTTCGGGCGTTATTGTAGAGACATTAGATATATTTTTGGAAGCAGGAGAATTGAAAAATTAGCAACGCCTTCGCTGGGAATCGAACCGCGGACCTCTGGAATATGTGCCGAGCGTGCAGACCACCACACCGCGAAGGCATGCCAAGAAAGTTGCAGAAATACCTGATAAACTTTGTGTTTTTATTCTCATATATGTTGGTAAATTGTCCAGTTTTTGTTTTAAAAGTTATTATGTTGTTCTTATGTTCTGGTTCAATTTTTTATACCTTTAGTTAATTTGCACGCAGTAGTTGTAGAATTATCAACAGTTTAAAAGTGGCCTCCATTTGTTTACATTTGAAACTCTTGGTGAATTAGGTCAGTTGGTGCACCAACTTATGTGTCCTTTTTTGCCCTGTGAAGCCAAAAGTTAACTTTCGATTTTGTGCACCAAAGATTTTTGTCTTCCTCCCCGCTGGCCGAATTACTTCTTTTTGCCTAGAAACACTAATTTTAACTCTAAAAATTGTTTAACTGATTTTTAATTGCAGTTTTGGTGTTTTAAGTTTCGCTGTATTTTACAATTTTGTAACGAAGATGATTTGAGTTTTTATGCATTTTTGCCTTGCTGCGAAGTGAGAACTGAACTGTTTTTATGAGAAATATGTAATGAAATTCTAGGAAATCAGTTTAAATAAAGTGCAGCAAAAAATGGGTATAATTTAATAAGACCGTGCAAGAAAGTCGTGGGATGTCCACATCAAATATTTATTGTTGAATTCATTTTATTCCTGTGAAATGGAGCCGAATCTTTAATACCTCATATTTATTTGCACTCCTTGCTTATCTATAAAACCATAATAAATCTGTTTCCAGGTAATGTCCCAAATAATTTCGTTATTCACCAATACTTATGCCACTCACTTATCTGGTATTGTTTTGAAAGGTTTTTTTTAATTATTTAAAAATTATTTACTAAAAGCCTCATGTATTTAGTATGCATAGTTTTTATGTTTTATGATTTTTTTATTACTAATTTGATGCATTTGGAAGTCCACACTATCAGATGAATAATTATTCCTCTTTTTGTTTCCTTTCAGGTTAGAAAACAAAGTTCCTCATTCCACTGGCCAAGAACACTGCCAGAACGTCTCTGAGAAACAAGTAGTCAATCTACTCAGTGTCATCAAATGCTGTGTTGCTTGTTTTACTGCTCATTTTTACTTCATCTAAAGACATTTCCAAGGGCCTGCATTTCAGTTCATGAACTACATAGTTTCGTCCCCCTTCTGTTTTTGTTTTCGCCTTTTTTTTTAAACTCTTTGAGCACTCACGCCAAGCAGGCTTATCTTATTCTATGTTCTAAACGGCGGTGAATTTTCTACAAGTGAATGTGTGGCTACAGATAATTTGGATAATGTCTCAATACAAAAGATTAATTGCTGGATCCAGTCCAAGAGTTTTATGTTTTCTTTTTTGGAATATTTAAAAGTTGTGATATTTATGAGTTCGTGCAGTTTTACTTATTCTATTAATAAGTACTACTCTATATAAATAGTAACTAAAATTTATGTATGTAACATAGTATTTTACTGTAAAATTATATATATCCATGGTACTAAAACTATTGAAAAATTAAAAAATAAAAAAATAAACTCGAAATATTTCATTATGAAACAGATACTACCCTTCAAATAATATAATATTATCAAGAAATTTTTAAATATTCCCTGCAGATGGATCGTTTTTTGTAAAGATGCATATAGGAAATTTACTAATATAGCATATATTACTAATATTGCATATAGGAAATTTACATTTATTTGCATAAAAATATTGAGGGAAACGAATTTAAAATGAAACGCATTTTAAGGCTGAATTCACGTCAAAATTAATATTTGTACATTAATATCCTGAGAATATTTAAACGTAGATGAAATGGCACATAATTAGAATTAACTGCACTACTTGTTACCATTACTTGCGGTGAAATACTTCAGTTGTGTAAAATTTCTTTTTTTTTGGTATATGAGTTTTTGATAGGGAATATTTATTTTCCTCCTTATTAATTTTAAATAAGTTGTAAAGATACGGAGGTTGAAATATTTATAAAACTTATATATGTCAGTTTTAAACTTACTGCATTCCTTCTTTAGCTCCTATTTTTTATATATTTTTTTTTTTTTTTTTTTTTTTTTTTTTTTTTTTTTTTTTTTTTTTTTAATGTTTTCTTCCGAAATAATCATTCCAAATATGCTTCTATTATATTTCTATATAAATATATTTGAATAATTAGTCTTTTGATAAAGTTTTAAATATTATCGTATTTCGTTTTCAGAAAGTGCACTAATAAATGCATTACAATTACAAGTAATTACAGTCAACAAACTAATTACGGTTAATAAATTCTATATTTATCATCTGAATTATACCTAACAGTCTTAGAGACAATTAAATAATTTACACATGGCTTTTTAGCGTATAATTTTGTCATTTGAATTCTTAAGTTAAAAGTTACTTAAGTTGTTCTTACTGAAGAAATATTTCATAAAATCTATTGAAAACAGCAATAAAATATAAAATTATTCTAACCGATTAAAATGTTCCAGTTCGCTAATTAATAGAAACTAGTTGACTGTAATTTTCTTCTTTTCATAATTTTTTAACATTTTATTTTTTATTATCGTAACTCAAAGTTTTATAATGTTTTCTGTACAGCAAAAAGATAAAAATATGGAATATTGTCTTAAATTTATAATTACATTCGCAACGAATTGTGTTGGTTGTATTTCAAGTCTTTCCTCTATTCTTTTTAAGCGGATTAAACTGCTTTTGTTTGTGAAGCAAAACATTCCGGTAATGTAATATGGTGTTTCATAAACTTTACAGGCAGTTTTTACCTCAGTATTGTTTCTACTTTATCTTGCTTGCCTGTAGTATGTATTTCTGCTTACTTGAACGTGTCACAAAAGTGTTTAAATGTTACATAGCATTAACATTTTTTGACTTGTATAAACAGGGGCGGAAATTGTTATTTATAAAACTGCATTCCAAATTTTCAGGAGACATTCTAAAATAATTCTTTTGCTTTCTTACATAATATCCTAAAACTACTGTACGTAATAAAAAATATAATTATAGAGAATGAAAATACACTAAAGTAATTCCTAATTAATAAGAGCCTTTCGTAATACATGCGTGAAGTGCTGGAAGACAGATTTATGTAATAACAATATTTTTTTATCAGCTTTAATTTCAGACATTTTTACGAAATATTTATGGCAGCAGTTTTCAGGAAATTTTATAATTTATCACGTAATGGAATAAAGCTTTAAATCTGTTTAAAAACGAGGTTGTTGTTCCTCACCTTTATAAAGTAAAAAAGTAAAAGTAAAATAAAGTATAAAAATAATACAATACTCATTACTTTTTAAAGTAAAATATTGAGGTCATTTTAGCGCCTTTAAATTTCAGTATTATTTTGAAATGCATTATTAATCTTAATTTACGAAAGATTTCTTTAAAAAAATGCTTGCTAGCTTTGTAATTATTTAAAAGAGATATGATTAAAAAGTTGTCTTTTATTTAAAAAAAAAACAATTCGACAACATATTTTATTGGCTTAAAAAAGCTTCTTTTCTTTTCTTGCCATATATTATTAATGAAATTAGAAATATTCTAATTGCATAAATATTTCGCGTACGATAATTATAATTGGAATAAGAATCCTTTTATAAATTATTGCTATTTGGGATACAAATCAGCAGGAATAAAAAATTCGATTTTTAAAAATTTCTTTAAATGCAATTTTTGAACAATTTGTTACAATAAATTGAATTATTGTAATATTATCTCATTGCTGAAACCCCGAAGCTAAAAAAATGTTTTACCGTAAATGTTAGCAAAATAACTACTTTTTAATGAAGCTTGTTTTCTTGTTTTCTAGTATAAGGCCAGAATCATACGACTTGAGTATGTGATATTTTTATTGTAAAAATAGATTAAATACTATTCAGTAAAGGAAATATTAATAGAAATAAGGAAGTAATATAAACTTAAGATTTGCGTTTATTGATGCAAATTTATTTATATGAAAAGAAATGCAGATTTATTTGTATGGAAATACAATTTATTATATACTATTTCAGAGTAATATTACTTTAAAAAAAGGTAAAACAAAAATTGGCATGCACCACAATATGATAATTTTAAACGTAGACATACATGTACATGATGAATTGGAAACATTTAAATACATAACAATGTTGTCACGAACATTCGAATAAATTTCTGTATTTTGAAATTCATGTAACTCGAACACCATAGCAGTTTTCTGTTTAAAAAATAATATTTAATTATAATATTTTCACATAAAAGAAAATCAAAAAATCTCTGAATTCTTTAAATTTCTCCGTAACAATGATTAATTTTCTTGATCATTCATTATGGAATAATCTTTCTTTCCTAAAAATTTATAATTCTATATAATTTTTATTAAACTATTATTATTCATATTTTTGCTGGTTGTTCATAACAATTTTAATACTTATAATTTTTTGTGACAGTTTTAATTTTTCATATCTTTTCTTCCCTCTTTTTCTGACCCTTCCTCAAATTTTCGCATGGTAGTTGCATCAAAATTTGATAAATATTAATAACTTCGATCATAGCCGGTAAAATTTAGATTTTCTTAATAAATTCAGATCATAATGGCGATTTTCAAATCAATATAATTTCATAGTTTTAGTTTCAAAATCTACACAATTCACCAAATCCTACGAAGGAAAA